GAGCTCCAGACTGTATGTAGTGCATCATACACTGATTATCTTGAAGTACTGCCCAACAGAAAAAAAATACACTTACCAGCATGCTTTTGTAACATTCAGGACACAGATGCCACTTGGCTTCTAATACCACAGTGTTATGAGGCTCTTGTGAGACAACCCGCGATATTTTTTCCTGCAAGCAGTCAACGGTGATTGATGGCTCTATCAGAATGACGGCTATGACTCCATGTTTTCTGTATGGCCCTCAACACTGTGCAAAAAGCAATGACTTCAGGAGCTTTTTTAAGATCTCAATTCCTCTGTTCAAGAGTTAGTATATCCTCTTTGTTCAGCTACTTGTTATATAGCCCAGAAAAGGCTTGTTTCATGATTTTTCCTGCTTATGAACCTCTGCCTTGACCTGCATTTCTAGAAGAGAGCTAATAAAAGGAAGATTAATCTTGTAAAAGAAATACCCATATTCCAACTGCACATTTTTGTACCCAACACACAGACACAGCTGTAGCCCTGACCAACTAATGCTTCTCTTCTCCTCCATTATGCCTGGTTGTCTTGCTATTTTCTACAGACTCTTTGTTTCAAGCATTTACACAAAACACTAACACACCACAAGGAATTTTCCTACCATTTTTAAGCCGAAATATTCAATAAGTTCCCTCCTACATATATGGGATTACCTTTGTCCACTGAAGGATGTAGATCTCAGCACATGAAGCATTAACATTTTTTTCCCCTGACACTTACCAGTGAAAAGTTGCACAGGTAGCATCATTTCCAGGTTATACCATACACCTACTTTGTTAAACAAACTATTTGGAATTCCCCTAATGCCTTCTTTGTTTTTCCCCTACTTTCTTTAGCTCTTATTTCACTTTGTTCTTCACACTTCTACATTCCTGTAACTCTCCACTCTATCGTCTCCCCATTTCACACAATCCTCTCTCCACATCATCACTAAATCACCGTTTCATTAGTCCCAGCCTATTTCTGCCTTCACATATAATTTATTTGCACCCATCCTCACCAGGTCTCTCTTCTCCACAAGCAGGGTCACTATTGTGTTTCTAGGTAAAAATAAAATTACTTAGTTTTTTTGTGGGCTCAAGCTTATATTTTGTAACATTTTACTCTCAGTTGAGAAGAGATGTCCAGCATCAGTCATGTACCCGAAATGCAAAAAAGCCAATTAAAATTGGTAGAAATAGGGATGGTGCACATCCGTGAGAGCAGAGGGTGGATGCTACTACAGTGAAGGCATTACTCATATTTAGTTCGGGAAGATCTTTAATTTTTTCAAACCTATCAAAACCAGCTTGTATTATCAAAGAATCCCTATCTAGCTCATGACAAATTATAAAGCATTCCACATCCAGCTCATTTACTATCTCTAACAGCTCCAGTTTGTTAGCTCTCTACACACAAGGAGCCCACGTTCCTCTCCATCACCACCTTCGCTGGAACAATTGGTTACTATTTCTGTTGTCAGCAAGTTTATTTTCTTAAAGATAATAAAAGGTAATAAAAGTCCTCCCACCGGCTACGCAGGCACTGATAACTCAGAACAGAGGTTAGAAGTACGAATCCAATCAGCCCTCCAAAATACCCACACCTTCATCGTCTTTGACAGGAGTTTTGTTCTGACCCTCCTTTACTATTCACTACAAAGTAAATACTTAAGTACTTCCCATACCCCTGATACAAGCTACTATTAAGAGAGCAGTCTGACCATCTGGCTCTGCAAATGGACTTCGATGAGATAGCTTTTATTGGTGGTACTAATCAGGAAGAATTTATCTTTATTCCCACAAGCCAGTCAGGAGTGTGCAACTCCTTGAATATATTTGTTTTAGCAAAAGATGGATTTGCTCCTGATCACATCTACATTCTTGTTTAGAAGAGACAAACACACAGTGTCTAAGTTGGTTTTCTAATAGTAGTTTCCTAAGAAACTTTTAATTTGTCCAAGTTCAAGCTTCTTCTCACACCCATCTCCCACTCCAAAAACCTCAAAAGGCTGATATAAAATTTGATTACAGATTAGACTTCTTACCAGCTGGCAATCAGGAAATAAGACATTTAGAGAAACAGCATATTTTCCTGCATTTTGTGGCCAGAATGACATCTTCACTCTAGGGAAACTCCTTTTTTCTACCTTTCCACTTGTTACTCCATAAATCCCGGAATAACCAGGTCAGATCTGCAGACTTGGAACAGACCACTCAGCTACAGGCTGAAACTCTGTATTTGCTTCCCTCTACCTTCAATTCTTCCCAAACATCATTACTTTTAGGCTTTTATGCAGCATTTGGGAAAAAAGAAAAAAATACCATATGTTTGAGTTCTTTCCTCCAGAAACAGTTAATGGCTCTCCAGTAACAATCAAGTCATTGAGATAAACAAGCACACCTAATACAACTTTCACAGCCCTGTGAAAACATGGCCTGGAGAATCAGCATCTCCAGGTGATTAAGAAATTCCCACCTCATCTCACTGGAAAAAGACAAAAGGTTCAGAAATTTTCTATCAGGAAGATCTAGAAGTCATAAATTCTTACAACTTAAAGATTTGGTCTTAATGTTTGTTTCACAAACAGTAAACGTTATTACACAAAGTATTTGTTTTCATAAAACTAAGGATATTTATTGAACAATTATGAGAACACTGGAAGTTTTCATAACTAGATACTAAAAAATGGGATAATTTTATAAAAGAACATGCAAAGTTGCCTGCAAGATTGAACTAATGTAGCTACAGAGAGCAGATAAAGAGAGCAGTTAACATTATAAGCAGGTAAGTAATGACAGATTAAAACATACTACAACACACAAACAAATATTTCTTAGTTAAAAACATCAGTACTAAAAGACTGTTCTTCTCACTTCTATTGTTTAGTTTAGTCTTGTTAGGAGCAGGTGGGCACCTCTTGTAGAGAAGAAGTATCATGAGAAGTCTAAGTAGACCTCTAAGTAGACCTGAAATAAACAAACTATATTTCAGCAAGCAATTTTTAGAGTACTAATAAGCAGGTAAAACATTCAACATTCTATAAAAGCAGAAATGTGTAGAAAGACCACTTTCACTGGTATCAAGATTAAGTATGTAATAATTTAGTGATCAAAATGCTGATCTTATCAGGTTTCCTTTATATAATACGGCACCATGACGATGCATTTAAGAATGCATCGTGCAGAAATGCTAAGTGATTCAAATTAATATGCAAAAAAAATCACTAGAAAACAACTATTAGTTTTCTGTCCTAAGTAACTTATTTTTAGAATAAACCAGAGATGACTCACACTACTGTAACATTAAAATATATGCATCATTCTTAGTGCCCTAAGGTTGGCATCAGCAACTTGTAAATGTCAGAAAAGCATACAAACCTTGTTAATGTTTTCAGAAATTCATTTAAAGACAGAAACAGGTCCAAAAAGATGCCTGTCTAAATGCATTGCAATTACGTTACAATTATTTTCCAAATACACAGATATGTTCTGTCTTTTCTCAGCTCATTACTGACTCAAACAATTTGCCCTTCTGGGATCAATTGTTTGCTAATAAATAATTGTTTACAGTCACAAAATGATATTAAGGAGTATTCTTATTAGTTTTTCTTCTACAGCCTAATAAGATTCAAAACTAGCTGATTCCCCAGAGTCTAACCTTAACCTTGCTGTGTTTAACAGCCCAGGAAATGATGAACCATCTGTTTCAGAAAATAATGGAGGGCCAAGAGGAAATATTGTTTAATTGTAGATTAACCTCCTCATATGGCAGAATGAAGCATCTACAGAATTAGCAACCATAACTAGCAATGAACAAAAATAACTGAAAGCAGCTCTCACTATTACAAGAACAATAGCAACAAGCATTCTTTTATCACCTTTTTTTTTTTTTTTTAAAAACCTTCCTAAATGTAACCAGTACAGCCTGATTTTAAAAATACATTTGAATTATCATCTTTGGACTTTTTTTTTTCACTTGAGGAAGCACCAGAAATACATACTGAAATAATCTTGGTTTTCTTTTAGCACGAAGATCACAATTATTTTAAAACAAACATCTCCAAGTGTGAGATAGTGTATTTATTCTTCTGTAACTTCCACCTCACAGCTCCACAGCGATACAATGGCTGCTCCAAAGCGATAGACAAGTCACTGAAGGGAGTGGGAGGAAGGTCTTGAGGTTTCAAACTCAAGAACTTTGATCACTTGTGTGTCTGTTTACATAGCCATTTAGATACTTAATAATGGAGACAACCAGATAAAGTATAAGGCAGTTTGCGTACTAGAAAAAAAAAAAATAAATAGCAAGGACAAACCACAGGAATCTGAAAATAGAAACAGCTGCTCCTGTGCTAGCATAACGAGGGGCAGTTCCACTCCACACGGTGATGGCAATTTTTCTATGTAACATTCATGCCAAAGTGAGCTTAACAGAAATCTTTTACTTCCATCAATCAGTTTGCCCCATTTTGACAGCAACGACGACAGAATAGGGTGTTATCAGAGGGCTGCAGCAAACTCCAATATACAGCAGCTGAGAAAGCTTTTCCTTGATTTTACACAACCTTCCTAGAACAGTATCTAAATTCACTGTGACAGCTGGGGGCATACTCAGTGTGTAAAGATTTCATTAATTCTAAGTTTTAAATATCCAGACATGGTAACATTTACTCAAATAAATTATGCTTGAATTCTTCACTTAATTCTTGAAGCAATGAGCTAGCAGTAACTCCACAGCTTCATATAATAGCACCTATTCAAAAAGGATAAGAGTTTGACATTCTTCTCCAACTAAACAACTAGGCACAATTTTATCCATCAGACGTCTATCAACCTACGGATATTGAAAGCTTGGGCAAACAAGATAAAATCAAAACCAACCCTACTGTCAAGCTGCACTATCTACTGGCATCAATAATGCTATTCATGAATTTAGGAAAATTAATAAATCTTGGGATGAATGCTCAGAAAGGCTCAAATACAGGTGAAGCATACTCACTTAGGTTTTGTTTCTGCATCTGTCACTTGGCGAATATAGATACCATCTTCAGGATGTTCAATGTCATCCATTTCATACATATACGAAGAAGCTATTGCCAGGGTAGTTCCATCATTGCTGAAGGCAAGTGATGATATGCTCGTGGGATACCGATGGAACTGACACAGGCGCTTTTTGTTAAATGGATCCCAAATATTCACAAATCCATCAGAACCTCCTGAAAATTAATTTTTAAAAACTGTTTGTAAACTCTAAATTGGAAGAACAGTGAGACTGAAAAGATACAGCAAAGGGAAAAACATAAGAAAGAAGGAAAAGAGGAAACTACCTGGAATTACTCTGTCAGTAAAAACACAGGGTTATACAGAGTTGTATAATTCAGTAAAGAGTACAATGAGTATTTCCCAAAATCCCTGTTAAAGCAATTAACTCTCACTGCATCAAATAACTAAAAAACCCTGCTCATTGCAAGAAATACAATTTAACTGCTTAAAAAGTAAGGGCATGTGAAGTAAAGGCTGACCTGTTTAAATCAAAACTAGAGGAAATGATGCAAGTGTTACAAAAAACTGAGTATCTACTCTACCTGTAGCGAACGTGTTGTGGACATTATGGAAAGAAATAGCATTAACTGGATAAATGTGCTCAATGCTATTTTCCTTCAAACGGTGACATTTGAACGCATATTTCTTCTTCTGGATTTCTGGACTTGGATCCAAATATTCCACTGCAACACGACCTTCAATAGAACTTAAAACATAACCCTACCAAAAAAAAATTCGGAGATATGTATTTTAGAACTTTATAACTGGAGAAAAGATTGCAATACATTTTATCTTATACCCCTGTAAATTCAAATAAATGAAATGTAAAGAGTGCAAATTGTGTACAACCAGAAATTGTTTGTTACCACAGATCCATGGCCTCATCAATAAAATCTGCTCCTAAGAAAGCAGTAATGCAGAAAAAAGCCTTCTGAGGAACTCTCATTGCACCACAGTTTTAAGCTGACAGTGAGGCTTTTAATTACCCCTGCAGATCCAAACCCAAGTTGATTTGGGGAAAAAAATGTCAAGAGTTAAGAATCCCTTGTATGTGCCCATCTATCCCTCAGGGCCTAAATATCTCAAATACTAGAGATACTCACTGGACTATTTAGTTTCAGAATTATCTTATGTTAAAATTAGTTCACTAGTTAATCACAGTCCTGACTTAAAGCAACCTGAGATGCTTTTACTATAACCTCTGAGTTAAGCCCATAATAGAACTTTTCAGAAACAGGATTGTAATGATACCTAGATATAGCAAGGTTCTTTAAAATCTATAATATCGTACAAACTGGGAGATCACCTTGTCTTACTATAACTAGAACTGAAAATGGAAAAAGCGTTCCTGCCAGTTCAAGAAGACGTAACTAGGTCTCCCAATTCCTGTACTATGACTATGTACATGGGAAAATTCCCTTCCAAATAAGTTCATCTGAAAAAGCTAGTCTTTTTGCCTAACTTCAGAAAGAGAAACACCACAGACACACTATGTTAACCTACACAGAACAGCTGCATGATCATCTAAATTGTACAACTCCCCCTAGATAACGGATCGTGGGTTCTTCAGTGTACAACACATACTCAGTTAAAAAAAATATATAAATGACATTCATATAGTTTTAATCCTGCCCATGCTCAGAATCTATTGAAGAACCAAGGGCTACAACGCATAAAGGCTGCTGTGCAACCACCAATTCTATCTTCCTCCTTTCTACTGCAGCTCTGGGGGGAGTGGGGTTTGTTTTGGTTTTTAATTACATGTCAGCACTGTGATGCATTATATACGTTATTTTAAAAAAAGGAGACAAAGCAGAAAAAAATGAAAACATAATATGCTGCTAAGTCAGTGGCAAACATACCTAAACTAAGCTATTAAAAAGAATTAACCAGTTAACCTGGAACAAGGAGCCCCAATACCTTTTTTCGCCCACTCCCGGAGTTTCATTACAAAACCTCTGAAGACCATAATTTTTTAAAATAAGAGAAAGATGCAGAAGACTTGAAAAATAAACCACCCTTTTTCCTGAAGAATATTCAGCAGAAATATAATTACAGACATGGTTCCCACACCTGTTTATTCGGAAACGCTCTGATACAGCGGGTCTGGTATTTCAGACTCGATTCTCTTCGCTGCTGAACATAACCCATGTTCCGCAAATCCCACACCAGCACTCTCCGACCTGCCGTCCCCACAATCAGTCTATCTCCAGACACAGAAAGCGTGTAGACCTTATAAAAAAAAATATTACAATATTTAACACTTATTAGCCTGACTATCCACTGTTCTTTATGCAAAATAAAATATCAGTAATATGCAATAACAAAACAGGTGACATCTACAATGAAATCTATAGCTACAGAATTCCCTTTAGAATTCCCTTTTATAACTCAAATTTGGGATAAACAGCAGTAGTGTGCACAAGGTTAGCGATAAGACACTAATGTAGCATTTCAAAAAGCTCACCCTTAATTCTGTATCCTAGCACATAGCTGAAAAATCAAGCCCAATGTGGTCACATACTACATATAACTCATTTAGAAAAAAATTTAATATGCATATGCACTTGTTTAATTTTAAATTTCAAGTACGTTTGTTCAGTTACCAGTCTCCAGATCCCAATGATATCTAAATAATCTTCCACAGACGAGATTTCCTGCTTTTGCTGATATTACCATGTTTTAAATATGTAGAGAAGCACTTATGTGTAACTCGAAAGAGAAACCAGTATTATTCAAGTTTTCCTCAAAAATTATTTCAAGCACTATATTTATTGGATATTACGAGGCAAGAGGAAAATAGTTACATAGTAACATTGGATTAAGTTGTGCTTCATGTTAATAAAAGGGAAATAAATTGCCAAGAAATCATTAAAAAAACAGTACTTTGCATACTTTAATAAAACTAAGTGAAATTGAAGGAAGCAATATGCTTGACATAATTAAGAAAAGACCATGGCTTGGAATTTCAACTCTGCTCCAAAGATTGCCTCAGAGGTTCTAATTTCTGTTTATCAAATTTCTCATAAAAATAGCATATAAATCATTCTGTTTCCAACTTTACTCGGAATGCAGTTAATCAGAAAATATGTTAAGAAAGAAAAAAGGTTCAGTCAAAAACTCTGTGCAATCAAATGAACTACAAGTTGCTGATACACAAGCAAGATGGAATACAGGTACCTACAGCTGTCCTGTCACTGAGCTGCTACTAAGAGCAAACTATAAGAGTGAGCTTTTGAAAAAGTGATCTAATGCAGCTAAGTACATAGGAAACCAATACTGTATATGCTTCAGATCAAGAATCAAAAGTGTAAGATCTGGTATCCTGCCAGAAGAATTCAATTTACTTCTGCCATGTGCTTGGACAATTTCACTCAAGCACCTAGTTTCACTTTCTGGTTCTCTGATAATGCCCAGTATAGCTGTTCGGTTCTGGTAACACTGCACTGAAATATCAAACATCTTTTCCCTTTATTTGCTATAAACACCTCTGGAGAGGTTATGTTTTCAAAAAGTTAATTTCTAATAAAAAACTTCAAGTGGACAGGTGTGTATGTGTGTGGGTATAGGTATATAAAATTTCCTTTAACCAATCTACATGCATTCAGCATGCATTCTTGCTGTAAAACGTGATTATTGAACTTCCCTCTTACGACTGAGGTCTTAAGATGGGAAATGTCTAAAACATTCACAGAGGAGTTGTCTAAAAATTCTGATGATCCCAATTGCCAAATGCCACTTACATACAAAAGGGGCAAGAAAACTTTGAGCCAACAATAGTTTCACACTTTAACAAGACAGTTTTTCAAATCTGCCTTTGTTATTGATGTAAAAATTGATTCAAAAATATCAATAAACATTATATAAAATGTGTTTGTATATATGTACAGAAACAAAAGCATAAAGAACATTAAATATCTTAAATCTTTACAAACTGATGTCACACCTGTATAGTAAGTATTCTTTCTACACCACACAACCATAAATCAAATGAAACCATTGTCATGCAGTTGAGTAGGTGTACACATTTATCAAAGGCAGTATTAAAAAAAATGACATAATGAACCTTGCTGAACCAATAAGCAGCTTGATTCACTGTGGCTGTCCATTACATGATATTCTGTCAGCAATTTATCACAGTTCTTTACATGCTACATACAACTATAAATCAAAACTAGAAATAACGCAATTACTTGATTCTGAACAAAGGTCTTGCCAGAAGTAGATTCAGCTATGTTGTAACAAAAGCAGTAGCTATTTAGATACAATAGGGAAGGTAATGATGGCTCATAATTATGATAATATGATGTGACAGAGCCAAATGAAATTTAAAAAAATGTATAGGCAAACAAAATATCCATATGTAAAATTATCCAGCAATCCAGCCTGTGTTTAGGAGTCTACAAAAAAAAAACAAATTATAGTTCTATAATTCTTTCAGTGATACTATTGTAAGCAGTATAAAGATTAACACACCATATAACCATTAAGAAAAATCTTAAAACATTACATCTTCCTTTATATCTCTTGGTCTCTCATTAGCACAGAGGATTTTATATTAGGGGAATGTCTGAATTTAATAGGCATTAGTACAGTAGCAGGTAAACTACTGTACAAGCAATTCTATTCAATCTTTCAATACAAGAAAATATTCTTTCAGGCAACATTATTTGCCTCCTACTATATCTCCAGACAGATTTCGAAACAATCAGACCTTATGACTGCCAGGATCTGACATATCTAAAAGTCTTAACGTTTAAGGAAATCGACATTGTATATTACAATTAAGCCAAAGATCATTAACAATTGTGACAATCTCACATGTTTTTGTTAGGTTTTCCTCCTAAGTTTGTTTTAAATTATAGGAATTTTGTCCATCAGGAGTGCTTAGAATTAAGTTATGCTCTCCTATTGATGAAAGCTCAAAGCCTTAACCTAAAATCACATTATAATCTGAATATATTTTAAAATGCAACATTTTTACTGCTTAAAAACCATTAAACATAACTTTTCAAATTTAGTTCTGTTTAAGACAGTGCCCTGTATGGTGATGTTTACCCACTCCCTGGACGTATGATTTAACGTTTGGCCTGGAATACTGCATCCAGTACTCACCTTTTCAGGTTGAGAGAATGTTCCTGCGTTACAAGGAGTTCTGGGATCCCAGAGCTTAACTGTCTGATCCCAGCTTCCAGTCACCATGACATTCACTTCTGGGCAATACTCAACACACCTGATAGGAGCATCATGGGCACCAACAAGGTTTTCTGTAAGAAAATACACAATATTATAACTTTATTGGCTCTGCAAATAGTCAGAATGTGTTGAATAAAGAATTAAAAAAAGGACACACCACTGCAGTGCAAGCACACTTATATTCTGACATTGTCACAGGTGTATTTATATGCAATAAGTCCCTTTAAGGAGTCTCCAGAAGCATAACTTTTGCAAAGATAGGCAATATTCAATTTAAACTTGTGTCTCCTGAGACTCTGAAAGTAAGTTAAGAATTTTAGGCAGCTACAGAGAGATCTTCAGAGGTGTAAAGAAGGTTCAGTATCAAATCATACCACCACCTGTGACGCAGACACTAATACAGAAAGCAACTTCATCTTGTATGTATTAACATTATGACAAAGTAAAGGAATATTACATACTAATAAAAATAAAAATATTAATATAAACAGACAGTCATCTATAACAGAATTATTTGGCCCTTACTGCACACAGAAGTTGGTCAAGCTCTGGTTATCTGTGTGTCCTGGTGACCACATTTGTCTCACGCTGAGAATCATTTTTCCGTTTAACACACATACAAACACAAAAAAAGGTGGACAAACCAGCTCCATATTTTGCACCAAAGAGGTAGTGGAACTGTGTTCCTTCTGAGCAATGCTTGTTAGCCAAAAATGTAGTATAAGCCCATTCTGTTTGACGAAGCAAAAGCTTTATATACACTCCACAACAGATGTGAAAGACCATTCTAAATATGTCTAAACCACAAACCTTTGAAAAAGAACATGTTAGTTTTAGTACAGCTTAGCTAATTTCCCCTAACTGAGACACAGTAGCCTATGTCAGAGCAGGATTATCATCAGAAATCCAATTCAAGGCATCCTACAACAAGCATACACCAAACTTTTGGGCAAACCGCCAAACACTTGCATGCTTTCAGGTGGTACTTATTAGGGCCACTAGTTATCGTGCTAGATAAAGCCACATATGATGTGAACCTTAAATCACCAGTGTAACAAGTATGTAGCTACTGACTTTCCTTCCATTTTCATCTTAAAATAAGTAAATAAAAAAGAAATACACCTGTAAAAATACATCAACAAATATTCATCATGGGAAAAGTTTAAACCTTCAGTTTGGCAGCAACAGATTCAGCCTTTCTGTTAAAGGCATTATAGCACAATCTTCAATTACACAGCAAGGGATACTGCCTTGTCGGGTGCCTCAGTGATGAGAAAGGGCTGCACAGCAAAGGAGACTGCTGAGTACTGACAACTTAAATCAACAGAGGCTACTACTTAAAGCAAATATACCCCATCTAACAAACTTGAAATATATCCTGCTCGTGTAAGTATATAAATCTGAAGCTTAGGCTAGTTGTTGAAACCACTTATAGAATTCTATCTGCTTACCTTGGTCCGTGTTTAGATCGTGCATTTTCAATTGCTGATCTAATCCTCCACTCCAGGCATGGGTAGGATCCTATAAAGAAAATTAAAAAAAAAAAAAAAATCACCATTTGTATTTCAAATCCCCTTTACTAAAAACAAAGAAACCAAGTATCTGGTAAATGGCTCACTTGGAACAATGCCGTGTTTCCAAAACAACCCAGTATGAGAAGGTTAAAAAGAAGAGAATGATTGGCTATGGGTATTAATTTGAACAATGGTTTCTGGCTGTATACTACCAGTACAACTCTGTAAGAAACACACACACAATTTACCATAACATCACAGAAACAGCGCAAACCAGCTCAAATTACTTTTGCCTACCACTTCTACCAGAAGTAAATTACTTGTGTGCTTCCACCGCACACCGGAAATATCTACATTTAGGACCAGAATGCCATTCACTAAAAGACTAGTTAGCAGAACTAAGCTATTTTTAAACCTAGATTTCAGGGAGCATTTCACTATCCCCCTAATTTCAGGGACTGTCCTTGGCAGCTATATGTCTATAAAATAATAATTTAAAAAACCATCTCACACACTTACATAAAAAGCACAGTCAAGGACAGCTCCTGAGTGTTGATATTTGAGTCTCACGGTGTTGGCAGGAACATCATAGAGCCGGACAGTTGTGTCCCAGGAGGAAACAAGCAGAAACTGAGATGTATTTGGACTAAACTTTACCGATGAAGTACCATCATCTGGAGTTTGATTTAGTTTAAATTCGTTTGATCCCGTCATCTGAATAAAAGACAAAATGCAGAGATACAATTTCAGTAATAACAAGACCATCAGCCTAGCAAGTTAGCTAGCTACCCGATCCATCCTACAGGTAACTTAAACTAGACCTGAAAAGTTTACCAGCTTGTACAAAAAAAAAGCTCAGAACACCCACATTTCTGACAAACTCTCTAAAATTCAAGATGTCAATCCCTGTCCAAAACTTCAATAAATTCCTCCCCCTATAGAAATCTTTTAAATTTAAATATCAAATATAACACAGAATAAACAGTACAAACATCTTATTTTTATTATTATTAGCTATAAGCTTAGATATTGTTACTTACAAATGTATTTTTCCGCCATACTACTGTGTAAGTGGCTGTGTTTTCAAAAGTATTTATAAATTACTGGGAGCATCAAGAAGTTACTTTAAAAAGCACATGCAAACAGGAAGGAATCTGATTTGAAAACTCCAACAAAAAGTGTTGATTTGTTCCTGATTTGGTATGACAGTCACCTATTTCCAAGAACTGCAACTAGATAATCTTTTAAATAGTTGCAGGCTCTCTGCAACTTTCCAATCCTTAGGCTTCCAGAAGTGCTACAAAATATTTCCAACGAAACAGCTTTAAGATTTTGTTTTTCCCCTCTCGGAGTCTAAAGAAGGTCAGACAACAAAGGAAAGTTATGCTTTGTGAGATACCAAAATGTAGAGCAAACATGTGAATGTGACATGACCAGAAAAAAAAAAATGACAATTCAATGACAGATCAACTGCAGCACTCACTTCATAGAACTAGTTAGCTGTATACACAAAAATTCAAAGGAGAACAGAGGCTATGAAGAGCAAATATCAGCTGGGAAGACAGTGCAGACCTTACAAATACCCTGAAAGAAGAAACTCTTCGTTATACGTACACGAACAAACCCACCAAATCTTTAAGGCTTCAGAAAGCCTTACCAGCATATTTCCCTTATGCTAAAAGGGCAGAGAGGTAAATCAGCTCAGATTTTCTGTAACACTATCACTCCTGAATTTGTATGTACAACTGCAAGGGTAAGATTAGACCTTTGAGAATAAATCAAGAGAGAATGAGCAGACCAACTAGGACAAGGTTCAAATTTAGTACATAATTGTCCTGCCTCAGCACTTGTTAGTAACTAAACAATCACCAAGTTGTTTAATAATGTAAGCACTACACATTCTTACACCAGAAAAATTTCCTAAGTCAGAGTTTTGGTAGGTGTTCTGTAAAACATCCTTCAAAAAAACCCACTATGTAAACACAAAGTGTTATTTCTCCTATTTAAACATGAAGTGATTCAAAAACCCTTTTGGGAACAGACAGAACAGAAATTTCTTTCTTAACCTCTTTTTTCAGCTTTGCTTTGGGAATACTTGGGCAGAAGACAGATATGCTCGAGAATTTGCCACATGCATTTCTATACGAATAAAACTGAGAATTTGGCAGCCCCTTCATCACACTTTAAATGGCAAAATGTACCTCAGTATTTCAGATGGATGTACAAAGACACAAAAAGTAAAGGAATTCAGAACAACTACAAGAATTAGACTGGACATGTAATTGTGTTGTCTACTTGGGGCAGAAAACTCAAACAACAAACAGGAGGATTTGAGGTACAGCAGTTACTAACCAGCCCAAAAGCAATCAACAAGCAGCACTCCAGGAGGCACAGTTACTTACACCACAAACCTGGAAAGATCTCCCAAAGGTGTTTTTAATCCAGAAAAACAAAATCTAAACTATCAGAATTCACATATATCCTACCTTTCATATAGGCTACCAAAAAAAAAAAAAAAAATATCACACAAAGAGCTTTGCACATTTTCACAAATACAGCTGCTTCACAGCTGGGATTGCCAAACAGTAATCGTCACGCCCACCTCACACAACAAAGTCCTGGTGAAATTTTCATACACCACAAGAGATAACTAATAAAGAAGACGTCACAGAGACAATACATGCTGCTGAAAGCGTAATACTGACTTAACTACAGGGTGCACCTTTGCAATTCCATCACTCCCAAAACCTCATGTTATACTGAACAGGTAAGAAACCACTGCCTTGATAGCTCCTCTTAACACACTTTGACAGCCGGCAGGCGCTCCTCGAACCACGCAGGCCTTTTTGGGTAAAGCCTAAGGACCACCAGCCTGTACTATCGTTAAGAAGTCATTAAAAGTACCGTCTTCATCTTGCACGAGTTCCTCTCGCTGCTCCACACAAGGAAAAGGTTTTTTCCTGCAGCACCCGCGGGTCACGGAAGCACCGAAGCCTCAGAGACGCGGTCCGCTCCCGGACAATCACGTCAGATGGCGGGAGATGCAGCTGGTTGCGGCGGGAAAGGAACAGAATGAGAGGAAGGCCCGAGAACCGAGGGAGGGCCGAGCCCAGCGGCGGAGAGGCCCCTCCACCACCCATCGCCGCGGAGAGGCCCCTCCACCACCCATC